AATTCAGGCGAGGTTAATCGATATTTCATTACCTTTAGCGCGGACGATGTAAACATATCAAAGTATGGACGACGTTAGAGTCGAAGCGTCAATAAATTGGCACCGGTCATATATTTAAAGTGACGCGAAAGGCATCGAGAAATATCTCAAACACAATTATACAACGGCGACGTATACATGTAACATGTAATATGACGCGTGTGTTAAATGTTAAATGTACGTAAAATTTATATTACCATTTTCCCCGCAGTTACACATTACTGGTATAAAACAAATAACGGTACATACACGTAACGTTATGTAATATTACAAAGGAGGAAAAGATTGTAAAGAATTTCTGTTATGTACTATATCAGTTTCTTGAAGATATTTCCCCGGAATTTTATTCGATACATTCTGTAAGTAGAATTAACGACGCGCTCTATCGACGCCATCTTGGAATTCGATGTTACCCCGCGCTGAATTTCTGTTTCAAGGAATCCTTTGCAATTTGTTCCTTGCGCTACATTTTTACATTGCAGAACTTTGCTGTTTTTTTTTTTTTTTAAGCGAAGAGCGTATATTTTTTTTCGCGATTGCAGGACCACGTATCTATTTTGTTCTTCTCGCAGCGTCACGTATCTAATTTCCCTTTCGTGCATGGCCACGCATCTATTTCTTTCTTTCTTCCAGGGCATCTATCTTTTCATCTTGCAGAGATTTATTTTTATCTCCTTGGAGGAAAATTTCGGTGAAAGAGCCGGTCTCCCCCGGTGGATATTTAACGATGCCGAGAGCGAGACGCGAGGAGTCCCACCAAGAGGGACAAGAAGTGCGTGCCCAAGTGCCAACAGAAGTTACGCACGTATGCGCTGACGCGTGCGAGCGACCACGCAGAGACGTACCGACTACAATACACACGTGGCGGCTCATTCGCGAGTGCTTCGTTTCTTCCCTGCTGCGAGAAGCGTGGGTGCACATAAGCACTCTGGTCTTCTTACTTGCAGCGCCGGAAGCGCACTCTGCCGTGCGGCGCAAGTATTAACGGAAGTACTTATCGAGCTGTGGAAAAAAATGGACCCCCTGCGAAGCGATCGGTGCCTGCAATTAGACCTCGAAGATTGTAAACTGCGAACTTTTATGTATACTTTAATGATCCTGATCCTGATAGGATAATTTATTAACGTTAATTCCGAGCGATAGGTGTTAAGGACAATGACGTTAAATTATTCCTGAGACGTTGGAGGTATTTAAAAACGAATCGCGATATTTATTGTTATTTATTGTTAATTAACACGTTTTCCGTAACGGCTGCGACCTTAGGAAACATGCTTAATCACCTGCGACGTACATCTAAGACGTACACTTACGTAACCAGCGAAAAATGTATTAAGAGAGATTGATTGTAATATAGGATTACGCTTTAACTCAAGCTTGATAAATCGGCGGTGAGAATTATTTCTTATGAGGTAGGAAAGGTAATGATTTCTTGGAAAATATAGGAGGTTAGGTCAGGGAAACGGGCAGGTCCGAAAATGTGTTTTCTCCAATTAGACCGTCGATCCAGTCGTGCAGGAGCGATCGCAAGAAGTCGAAAAACAATGCACCAGGGCTTTCGGTTCTGTTCGATTACCCTCCGATTATTCGAGCGAAATAAGGCCACTCGACTTGTATCGGTTTCGCCCAATTACTTTTAGGGGCGCACTTATTCCCGGTCACGTGACCTTCTCCCAGGGCCGATCTTGGCAGGGGTGCGAAAGGTGCCCCCTGCACCTAGGCACCTAAACCTGTACATTATCCCCAAAATGTTAATTAAAAAAGAGACTAAGCGTTCCCCAATTCCAATTATAAGTCGTAAACCTGCGGATTATAAAATTTTATATTTGAAGCTTATACTTGATAATCTAGGACTTCCGACCTTTTTTCTTTTAGTACATCGTGTATCATCATCATTAGTATATACCTTTTAACTCGTCTTTCTAGATCGTTATGAAATTCTGGTCATCTTATGACTCCTAAGAATAATAACCAATCTTTTTCCAACGATCTCTGATCTTTTACCGAGAGTTCAACCAAATTATTAATCGTTGTAACGCCCCTCGTGTAAATAACTGAAACGAATCTATGCAACACAGGAAAATAAATTTTTAACGAGGTAGGATTAAATTAATAAGGGTGTAAATATCGTTTCTGCATCTGGGTGGCAACAATTCAGGAACGGCCCTGCGTTTTCCACTCGATGTCCCGTTTGAGCGGAAACGCAATGTCGGAATCGGATTTACCGGAAGAAAGGAGACAAGGGCACGCTCGTTCCTCGTGAATCATTTATTTATCTACAGCGGTGAATTCACAAAACCATGTCTAGTCTCGGCGGCCGAGAACCACGGTAAACATCTCTAATTGAGTACGAGTACAGTGACATGAAATTAATTAACGGAATACCAGGCGAAGACGCGTTAACGTGCCTGCACCTTCGGACAGCTTCGATCCGTGTAATGGGGCACGGGTTATTTTCTTCGCGTTGCCACCTAAAAGCTAAATTAATTGCGACTACCTCGACTAGGTCACCTACTCGAAACGCCGGCAAATCAAAGCCCGAGGTTCGCGGCAAGTATAATTGGAATTGCACTTTGGAAAGTGTCGCCCCTCCCGGAGGACCGTCGACTTGAGCTGGATTCACCCTATCCGACACGTATCGGTTTAGGCACGTGACGGTGCCGGTCCGACAGAACATTTCTAAACCAACAACAACCTGCGGTTAGCAACCCCTTAAATGGTTAAGAATAAAGATTAGACGTTTATACAATCGAGTGGAGGCCATAAAGTAAGGAAAATGGACTATGAAAACATACTAAGATACATTGTTGGATATTTTCTCAAGTTTATTCACCATATTCATATTATATATTAGCCATTCCCAATTGTGGAAACGATTATTAATCGAATCTGTACTTGTCTCGCTGTAATTGATTTCATTACTTTAAAAGGCTATCGGTACACCGGTTAAAATGTTCTAAACTCGTCAGCGACACGTGATCTCATAACTTTAGCAGGCTGAATATGAAAAGCAATTTTTGCCACTATTTGTTGTTGTTGTAAAGTAACATCATTACTACTGTACGGTTTCTTGAAGGTGAAATAACATCAGGCTATGAACTTGTCTTCTTTTTACACCAAAGGTGTTTTTTGCCGGGATCTCCGTATACTACTTCGTGGTTTACACTGTACGCAAATCGGACAGAATGAATGTTGTAAATATGCGTTTCAAATGGCACTGTTCACCTTGTACAGATCGGACAGGGTGAAAAGAGTCATTGAACTGCATGCTACAATGTCTTGTCGGTTCGGTACCGTCACGCGTACGAACTGATACGTGACGTATAGGGTGAATCCATTTTCATGCGCCGACGTCATCGTCCGTTTTATTTATCGGCGTCCTGACGACCTGAAGACCGAGGTGTACATCTATGTAATGCGGTACTCTCAGTTGTTGGAAGTTGATAATTAATCTACGACTGACTACGATAGTGGATTCTTGATAATTACATATTTACACGCGTCGCTCCTCTCGGGCTCAAAAAGGAGCGACTCGACACTCTGCATATCACTTGAGGGCGAGATTGGGAAATTGATGTCTACTTGCTAAAAATTGTCACACAATACAAAAGGGTATCCCTTTAGATTTTAGAACATCATTTACAGGTATTGCGAGCCTACTTCGGAAAAATAGAGAAAGACGGATAAATAGCGGATATTTCTCGATCAGGGCCCCTCATGCGGAAATTCGTGGTCGGATAGACCGAACGGTGCTTCCACGATTTTCAGACAAGAAGTTATTGACTGTTGCGTCTTACATTGGGTTGAAAGTGACTCTTGAAAAGCTGGGAGATGTCTGGGAGAGAAATTGAGGTTATGTACATCGGTATCGGAAAGGGAAGAGCACATCTTCACCCGCGACACACCCTAAATATGACGGGCAATCAGACCCTATCTCGATAAACAGAATATCACAAGAATTGTTTGCGATTCGTCTACAGGTATTACCTATGCGTTTAAACAGTCCTTACATCACTTGACGAACGCTTTGTAAAATCCATAGATCCACGTTAAACTGAAATCGCTCTCGACGAGTTGCAAGTGATGCGTTTATCTCAAATTTAACTGTCGAGTCCATGGATCTATGAAAAACTACAAGATGGAGCATAAACTGAGATTTCGCTGGAGATTGTATTTAAAAATATATGAAAGAACAAATGCCAGTAAAGGTTTTAATAGATACGTCGCATAACAGTGCCCGTAAGCATAACTGCAATAATTGGCTAGTCAAATTGCCGAACATTAGAACTAGATCAAATTTTCTGCAATTTCATTGACCAGTTCTTACCATTGTGCTTACATTTACCTTTACGCGAGATATCCGTCAATTATTAGTGAAATTATTTTGAAATTACTCACGATTTAATTATTCATATCCGTGTACTTCGAACTATTTAATATCCCTTTATAACAAGCGAGGACGCTATCAATCCAAGATGGCCGCCATCTTACATCTTAACTCACCCGCCTAGCGATATTATCCATTCTTTTCTCCACATATCCATAATTCAGTCCGAAATTCGTAAAATTATTCACTAATCACGCATTCAGGTTCTTCAACCTATTTTAATATCCCTTTATACCAGATGCGGACGCTATCGATCCAAGATGGCCGCCATCTTACATCTTAACTCACCCGCCTAGCGATATTCTCCATTCATTCCTCCACATATCCATAACCCAGTCCCAGATTCGCGAGATCATCCAAAATAAAAGATCATGCATCTCCAAATAAAAGATCTTTCGTTAAGAAAGGAGCATCACAAGAGCGACTGTAAAAATTCATATCTATACGAGGGTCTCGAGTCGCCTCCCTCGAGCGATCCACGTCAGCGAAACTGAGACTGGATCATCCTCGACGAGCAGCAAGTGGTGCACCTGCAGGTGTCCGGAATGCAGCCGTCGAATCCCGCGTTCAGGTTGGGTTAAAGAGGGCAGCCGTGGACGTAGGTGACGTTCCGGAAGAGGGCCGCGGCCGTGGAGAGGAACGCCGCTGTGGAGGCCGAAGACGGAGCCGCTGGCGGCGTTGGTGGAGGTGGATGCGACGACGTCGGTGTCTGCGAGTAGGGTGGACAGTAGGCGTCTATACTCCCGTGATGAAGACCGACTCCTCGCACGAGAAGCTCCTTCTCCACCGTCGCTTGATGACGGAGCTGCTCCAGTCTGAGCTGGTTCTGCCGTTTCCACTTCGTCCTGCGAACAAGTTGGCGAAAACCGCATCGGTCCTAAGTACACGTAGAAAAATCATTCATACTCTTAACAAACAAAAAAAATCTCACTTGTTTCGATAAACGTAAACAGATACAAAATGAACCTGCATGAATTTTTCAAGAAACTTTTTACGGAGCCCTGAGCAGAAAAAATGGTATTTAATGTCGCTTCACCGGGGCAAAGTGAAGTTTATGGTTGCAATATTGTTTACTAGATAAATATCGCACATTCGATCGAGTAGGATCAATAACATTCTCTTGGATGTTGTCGTGGATTTACCCTGTTAATTTAACAGGTAACTTTTTTGAAGGAAGCTCTCCTGTGGTTACATGTATGGTTGATGCCGTTGCAAATTATTTCGGCTACTTATGGAATTGTTATTGCGATAAGAGGGAAACTCTATTGGCAATGGCGTCCTTAGTACACCTTAATTTTTAGGGATTCCCAGCTGTCGGGAAGACCAACCTTCGGTTCTGGTACCAAGTTTTGACTTGAGTCTCCGACAAGGAAAGAGCGTCGGCCACGTCGCTGCGGTCCGCGACGCTCAAATATTTCTGACAACGAAATTTCCTCTCGAGGTAGGCGAGCTGTGCATGCGTGAATGCCGTACGTCTCCTTCGAGGCTTCCGACATCCAGGAGTCCCGGTGGAAGTGTTGCAGGATTTCTCAGAGGTGGCCGTTCCAGGAGGTGGGGAGAGAGTCGGGGGTGGACTGCCTAACCTGGTGCACGGACTGCTCCCAGGGTCGATCGTGTCCTCGGAATCCGAGTGCATCGCCGAGTCGTCCTCGGAATCGTCTGGAAAATCATCCAATTTGCCTTCATAAATCCTCCACTTCCGGCTGAACGAGCTCGAGATGAAAACTCGAGATATTCGGTGGGTCCAGACCGTTAAAACGAATATTGTAGTCTTCTAACCGATAAAGTATTCACTCAAGAAATCATCGATTTTAAGGTGATGCGAAAGTGGCGTGAAAAGGTCCCGTTTATGAAACATTTCTCCGAACTGAGGGTACCGAATCGTTTCAAATTTGACAATATGAATATAGAAGCTATAAAGAAGGTCCTGAAACGCACGAAATTTCAAATTTTTAAACATTTGTTTATGGGTATTTTTAAAATTTGTTATAAAAAATGAAATTTTAGGAGAGTCAGGACCTTCCTTATAGCCTCTATATTCACGTTGTGGAGTTTGAAACGATTTGGTACACCTAGTTCGGAGAATAGTAGCATGAACGATCAACCCCTCGTATGCCGCTTTCACACCCCCTTAACGCTCGAAATCATATGGACATCAGCTGGAAATCTTTGTAAATCACCACTAAAACACCGTCACAATTTTAAGAGCAAACGTTCCTATTCCCAAATCGCATCGTTACTTATCACGTGAAATCAAGGAGAATCGATTCTCAAAGAAGGAAATCGTTTTCGCCGATTTCCGCGCGAACAGCCCCTCGGCGTCAACTTTTCCGCTCGTTCCGCCCTCGATTTCCCGTGGCCATGTGTACCGGCGGATAATCCAATCCTACCCTGGCGTAAAGTCCATTACGAGGACAATCTCTGATTTCGAAGTCCAGGGCGCTAAACGATCCCGACAACGACGATCGGACCCGATGCCGGCTAATATGCGCTCCTGTCGCAGCAGGACGCGGATCCTTCGGTAAATCGGAGGCCTAACGAGCCCTAACGAATTTGTCCGCACCTCGAACCATCTGCAGGATTCCCCGTAATGGGAGCAGCCCTGGGGTGTCCCGGCACCCCCGTACGCTAATAGAAATAATAGATCGACTCTGCATGGGGTACCCCATAACGAGGATCCTGCCGCGGCCACGCGACCCCTCCCCGCCGAATAATGCCGGCTCGAGTCATCGATATTCATTGACCGGTGAAGATCACTTAACCGAGGCCCCAGCTTCTCTCATCGATCTCCTAGGATCAATTTCTTCCTCGTTAACCGCGCCAATGTATTGGTTCTCGTGACTCGACCGAAGACCGGCTTTACGTTGCACTATTTTCGTGGATACCATGAGTCTACGAAGAGACGGTGGAGTATAAAGTGAGATTTGATATTTTTCGTTAATTCAAAGAATTAATTATTCTTCGGTATTGTGCAAAGAAATATTTCTTTGGTTCGATAACACTTTTTTTTTTCCCTCAGTTTGGCCTTCATATTCACGTATTACTTTGTAAAGTTTGAAACGATTCGGTACATCTAGTTCGGGAGAAGGTTTCATGAACGATTGTCCCCACAAATGTCACTTTCACGTCCCCTTAAGGTGATATGAAAGTGTGGTATATGTGTACATACCAAAATGTAAAAAGATTTATAAAACTTTTCTCCAAACTGGGTGCACCAAATTATCTGAAACTTTAACACGTGATTATGGATGCTCTAAGGAAGTACGTGTTGTCCGTAAAATTTCATTTTTCGACAAAAAAAAATTAATTTTTTTGGTTCTTGATTGAGATAAGTACATTTTTTTCAGGATAAGATGGCCGATACCCTTTAATTTCTTTACGTCTTGAGTTTCACCCGTGGAGCGATTCCCACTTTTTCATTTATTTTGTATAGATCTATGGTGGGTACCCTGAGAGAAATTATTTACATTCTAGGCGAAATTAATTACTTACGGTATTTTAAATACTTCTTGTTAACGAAATTTCTTGAGCTCAGAAAAATTAATTATGTAAGAATCATTGATATCGCAACTGAAATTACGACAAGGAGGTATCAAGGGGAATTGGCCTCAAGTATTGAAAATATTAGTGAAAGTTATATCACTTTATGAGTAGAATGTTGTATTAAACTAAAACAGTTTAGCACTTGATAGAGAACAAATTATTAACGGCAAATAAATATTCTTTGAAGTCGATGCAAGTACGAGTTCACCGGTAACTGGCCGAGATTTGGCGACAAGCATCAAATATACTGTTAATTCAATTAAACTCCAGTTTGTTACAATTATCTGCTTAACTATATTTAATTGAAAATATCTAAGCTGCAAAGGTAACGTCGAAGTCGAATTTCTCAACCTCGATGACCCCGAAATTGGCTTAAAAATAAAGGAAAACAATATTTTATTTGAAAATATGTTATAAAATGAACACACCACATCCACATGGATCTTCCAAAGAAAAAAGAGACATAAAATCGCGATACTTTTTTAACAAGGTAGTCATACATTATGTCAAAACGTGTAAAGTCGCACTAGGAGGTTATCCAGGAGTTATGGGATCACGTACCTTGCATGCGATTGGCCAGGACGTCTCCCAACAGGTCCCTGATAAGGAACGACTTGTGCTCCTGCATCATGTCGCGAACAGCAGGCGCCGCCAACAACAAACAACGAACCGATGCGCGTCACCTCGAAAATCTGTAGGAACGCTCTCTTCAGTGCACCATTAAGCGCTGAGGGCGAATTCCATGGCGGACGATTGAACGCGCGAAAGCAGATCCACAAACGGCGATGCTTGTCCCCTGGGGTGTCATGTCGTCGGGACGCCCGGCGTCGTTCTGCGGCCTCCGGGTGCCCCGACCGCGGACGCGACTCCTCCACGAGGGCATTCCGCCCTCTCCTCGAATTAATCCGCCCGTTTATTTTGAACGGCGCCTCTAATGCCCGCGCGATTTCGCAGCCATTTTGAGGGTGGAGGCGCCGCGGCTCTCGGGGGTAGCCTCCCCATTGGAGGAGCTAAGCGCCTGGGAGAGGACGAGCCTCTGCCCCACGAGGCAGTCCATTGGTCGGGGCCGACCCTTCCCCGGAAGCACCCGCGGGATTCGCGGGGGTTGGTCGACCCCGGCTTCCCCGCCCGCCGCCCACGGAAGGAATGACGACTCACCCCGCGCGCTAAGCGCCCCAACGCCGAGGATGGAGGCTGCGGCGCTCGGGCGCAGTCGGCCGTCTTCGACTCCGCTCGGCTGCGCTCGGGCTCGAGCCACCGGAATGTCATCGTCTCCCGATTACAAGGAAAACGAACCCTACACCGGAAGGGAATAAATTGCCGGTGAAAATTGACCAGCCGAGGGAATTTGGATTTCTTCGTATCTTTTGTGGTTGTTAATGATTACGGTACAGGTTTTGTCACGACAGATTCAGGTTACGTTCACGCGCCTGTTATGAATACAGTTTTTAGGCGAGGTCACTCGTAAGTCGCGGTCGAAAAGAATATCCGTACCTTTGCCAAGGTTCATCTGAATTTCGGCGGAAAGTTTCCTAGGGATCTTGAAAAAAATCGAGGGTTTAAGAGGAAAGTACGGGGGTGTGGACACTCGGGAGCGCGCTTGAGCGCGAGCCATGGGGGAGTCATCGTTTCCCAATTACATGGGAAACGAATCTACTCGCGAAAAGGAATAAATTGCTGGTGAAAATTGGCTATTCGGGAGCGAACGGCACCAGAAGGGGGCGCGGCTCGAGTTGCTCTTCTCCGCAGGCTTATATTTTTCCCTGTAACATGTTTTTCCATTACCACCTTAATAAATTTCATTTGATAACGGATCGATCTAAAAAGTACAGACTGATAAATATATTTGATAAACGACTTATTGGGACGCTACAGGTAATGTTGGGAAAAATGATAACGATGAAATATTGATTAATTATGCGTTGACCGGAATTAGTCGGGCATGTTTTGCTGCGACTAACGATCACACGGTTCGTCTTTTTTCCCGTAACATGTTTTTCTGTTACCCCCCAAATGATTCTGTGCACCCAGGTTGGAGAAAAGTGTTATAAATATTTTAACGTTATTTATTCCTTAATAAACGGCATTTCATTACAGCTGAACCTAAAACGTACAGATTGCTCGATAAAAGTATTGAATTAATTAATATTCAAAAGCAAAACGTTGATACCGAAGAAATGACTTATTGGGACGTTACCATTAATGCCGTAATAATAAGTGATAATAATGAAACGTTGATTAATTATGCACTGACCGGAAAGAATAATTAGTCGGGCACGTTTCGTTGCGACTATCGATCACTCGTATCGCCTGTAAATAGGGGGCAATTTTATGCCGCCCTTCGCATCCGTTCCCGATTCGTTGCAAATGATTTTCCGTTTCCCTTGAAAACGTCGAAAGTCCTTTCGAGCGATTTCGCGAGTGCATCCCCGCCGGAAGACGAGTGCAGGTTGGGCGCACGTATTCGCATAAATACGGCCGAGAGAGCGGTGCAGTTTGCAATCCAGTAGTCTGTGCCTAGGGGTAGTTTGTGAGCGTAAATATGCATGATGCATGCTGGCTCCCCACTCTCCCACCCCCAGCCACAGCACCCTGTTAGTCTATTCACCGCACACTACTTATCTTTTGTATGCACCGCTGCTGTAGGTGCACCCTGCGGTAAACCCAGCCTAGCAAGGTATAAAAACATCCCGAGTACTCGCGGCTAAAGAAAACCCCGAATGGATCTGTCCTGGATACGGATGAATCGCGATCCCGACGATTCGGCCGCTCGACAAGAAACGACAAGTCGAATAATATCCGGCGATTTTTATTTATGCGAATTTGCATTACGCAGCTTTGGAGTACTTTTATCGTACTTACAGAGAAATTTGTTAGAAACTTTCATTGTTATAATTCGTACCGTTATAATGAAATAATATGTACTGTACGAATCGAATAATAACCGGCGACTCTTATTTATGCGAATTTGCATTACGCAGCTTTGGAGTACTTCCATCGTATTTATAAAAAAAATTCGTTACAAACCTTCAATGTTATAATTCGTATCGTTATAATAAAGTAATATGTACTGTACGAGTCGAATAATATCCGGCGACTCTTATTTATGCGAATTTGCGTTACGCAGCTTTGGAGTACTTTCATCGTATTCACAGAGAAATTCGTTACAAATCTTCATTATTATAATTCGTACCGTTCTCATAAAGTTATATGTCCTGTACGTGTCGAATTGTATTCGCCGATTTTTAATTATGTAAAATTACATTACTCAGTTTTGGAGTAGTTTTATGGTATTTTCAGAGAAACTCGGTTACAAATAGTGAGATGCTCCTTACATATCGTATCTTTACAACAAACTAGTATATAGATACTATCCGAGTTGAATAAAGCTCTAATAAGATTAATAATTTTATAACGTCACGTTTCGATTTTGTGAAATCTGGAAGGATTATGTAATAAATTAATAACATACTTCCAGCACGTCTGAAAAATATCTAAATATAATATAAACTATACTTGAATGAGTATACCATGTCTATACATTGAAACAAAGTCATAATATCGCAATATTTGTTTAGTAGGGTAGAGAGACGACTTCCACATCATGTCCAATTTGATAACGATCGTAGGTTAGGTTAGCAATCGGAAGAGCAGAGCTTGCCATTACCGACCATCCTATGAGGGACGCTCGAGTGAATTTCGGTTCGAGAGCGAACGCCTTGATTTGACGCCGCGACGCCTTGAGCGCTCAATTAAAACGGACACGACGGAGAAAAGCGAAGGGGCTCGTTGGTGGGATTTTCGGCAGAGCTAACGCGTGTGACTGCATAAAATCCAGCGAGCTGCGCATACCCGGCGCCATTTTAATGGAACCGAGGCACGAATCGCGGGCCTCGCGCGCCGCGGCGAGGCAGGCGCGCGTTCCTGAATTCATTAGGATTAACGTATGCAGGGGATTAATTCAAGGAGCGGCAAAGCGGCCGGGCCATCTTTTGAATAAAGTGAAACCGACAACTGAGCAAAGTGGATGAGCGAAAGTTCTAAGCTGCGCGGTGGTAGGAGACATTTGGACGATTTTAAATCATCCCCTATTTTGCCGACTAATCGTTTGGGTGTTCGATGACGCGGCAATAACGATGCGTCAACGGTTTCACCTTGTTGGTCAGGAGCGCGAGTAGTTACCGAAGGTGTCGACAGATGGCGCGCGGAACACTTTCTCGCAAGCGGTACGCGGCCAGAGCCGTGGTTTATATATAAGAATCCGGGATGGAACAAATGTACTTGCTTCGGCAGTACATATACTAAAATTGGAACGATACAGAGAAGATTAGCATGGCCCCTGCGCAAGGATGACACGCAAAATCGTGAAGCGTTCCACATTTTTTGCCGACTTCGACGAAATTACGTATAACCTCACATAAATAATACCCATGTACGAAAGAAATATTTGTTATGTATTAAAACTCAAGAAGAAATATATTTATGTAAAAATCAACTCGATGCGACGAACTGGCAAAGGGATTGAGAGAATTCATTTCTTATGTAATAATGCTAGTCCTAAGAATTTTAATTATTAATTTATGATTCTCAATGCGCGATCAGGGGGATTTTATAATACTTTATATTGGCGCTACAAAAGTTCCGTTTTATGGGAGTGGAATGTTATCTTTAATGTTTAATATTTAAATTAGCATTGACGAGTCGCTGATAAATCGTGAGGAGGTAATGAGTTAAACAGTAACGCCGGTGAATGAAGGATTTACAGCAAACGAGGGTATTTGTATTTGCAGCAAACGGGGGTCGTCAAAGACACCCTTTATGATTGAGAAGTAATTCGCACGATGAGTGGGGTTGCTTTCACTCGATTCCCACTCACCCTCGTCCAAATTGATGGTGATTTTGCTCCCAATGGGATGTGTCTTGCGATATATCTAAACGTCGAATAGCTTTGATTTCTCCCTTGTATTTCTGCTGCCGAAATTGCGAATCGATCGACAAAACCGGAAAGTAGGTTGACAATTCGAGAACGAGGCATTCTATAAATAATCCCCATCGATAATACCAATTGCGACCAATATTGGGGTAATAATATCAGATAATTTGCCCCGATACATTATAACGACAATCAGATGACCAAGAATAATCCCTTGAATTTCAAATTTTCATATCGGTTAATTTTAGTAACTTCTTTTTTTCTTCTTTTGGAATGGACAATTTATTGGAAATTTGGGAAAACTTTTTAAATTAAAATTCTGAAGATAAATGAGGTCTACATTTTCAAACTGTTCACATGTTGATGGACAGTCGTCTTTTATGATTTAGGGTGTAGCGGAAAAAAGTAGTGGTGTATGTACTCATGGAATCTTCAGATTAGGGGATAAAAAAGACCCCAAATTGGCGATAGTGATCTGTGGGGTGACGATTATAGGGTAATCTAACGGAAGGACTACCCTCCGCACTTGTCCCCATTATGTTCTGCTTGATGCCACTATAGGGTAAATTGTAGGGCGTGCCGAAAATAATTGCATACTTGGACCCGCGCTGTTTTTCAACATATGTGTGACAGATAACAACAATTCCCGGATACGTTCAATCAGGTAACGTTTGCGTCGCAAAGTCAGATATCTACAG